TCTCAAGATGATAAAGCATGAGTCCCTATTGGCGTAACTGCGTCAAATAAGCAAGCACCTCTTCTAATGCACATGGAATATAGAATCAAATTGCCTGATCACGATTGGGTAATCGCTGAGCGTCATAAATTAATACCATCTGTTTATGCTGGTATCAAAATCACTTCCAATATGCTAGGACAACTGCAAGCCGTTGGATATTCTGGACCAATATACATCGCTATTCGAAGTGGAAAGCATAGTTCATCTACTGCTACTACTCATGTTCAGGATTTCGAGACGCTTCTCGAACTTGAAGAGTTTTGACCATTAGCTAAAACTGACCATGGACTAGTAAAACCAGTGGTAATCATGACGGTTGATGGAGGGCCAAATGAAAATCCACGTTATCAAAAAGTCATAGGGTTTTCTATATAACACTTTAAGCGACATGATCTCGATGCATTGCTTTTAGCTACCAATGCTCCTGGAAGAAGTACATATAACAGAGTAGAGCGCAGAATGGCTCCTCTTAGTCGGGAACTGGCTGGTTTAATATTGCCTCATGACCATTTTTGGTCTCATTTGGATGAACGTGGCGTTACAATTGATGAACATTTAGAAAGATCTAATTTCGAATTTGCAGGAAATGTATTAGCTGAAGTCTGGAGGTCTGGGCTATAATGTTAATGCAAAATATGTTGGGGCAGGTGAACAAGATCTTCCTGATTTTCCAGACATTAAATGGTATTCAGAACATGTGCGTGGGAGGCAGTACTTGCTTCAAATTGTAAAATGTAGAAAAACAGAATGCTGTCGTCCAAGAAGTAGCCTATTTAGATTACTAGACAATAGGTTTCTTCCACGACCTGTAAAAGTAAAACAAACAGTTGATGACTGGGTTTTGGATGAAGGAGGGCAATTTCTTAATCTTCCAGTCAATTTAGCTTTACGCTTAAGTGCTTCACTCAAAGATTTCCAGCAAATTCCCTACGATTATTTTTGTCCTACGGTAAAATTGAGGCTATCACGTCGAACATGCAAAACGTGTGGTCTTTATCATGCTTCTGTCAAGTCACTAAATCGCCACATCGAAAATATCCATAAAAAAAGTAAACACGCACACTGATAGGCAAATCAGACCTGTAAGAGTCGCTGCTCGTCGTGCTAATGAACTGATATGCATTATTCAAAATTTAGAGCACCATGATGTTGAATGGCTCGATGAGAACGACGTAGACATTCCAAAATCCGATGAAAGCGAGCAAACTCACAACACTGAGCAGCAATCGAAGCAATCCAATGTCATCGAAAAGTTAGAATCATGGATTCGGGTTTCATGGACTGAAGACTGTTAATTTGAAATTAATATATGTACCAAAAATTTAAAATACGTTTATGTTAGTAAGATATAATATTTTTGTCCTTTACTTTATGTTGAATACCGTATCAGTAAAATATGATCTCTATCCTAAATCTATTTTCTTATTTTTCAAATTCTAATTATAACGTTATAATTATAATATTAAAAAAAACAATACATTAATTTACAAATGTTTACGTAAGCATGGGGGGAGGGGGTAAGAGCTTTGCTTACTTTTGCTGACAAGGGGGATGGGGGGGTAAGTAATTGTAATAAATCTGCTTACGTAATACTTGAACGGCCCCTATAGACTGTGTTACTACAATAGTTTGAACGATAGTGTAACGCGCGAAGCCATCATTGCAAGACAAGCAAAGCTCATGTCCGCCTAAGGCAGGTATTCCTATTGTCGCATTTCAGATCCACAAACAATGCACCCCCATTAAAAGGACAATCAATCAGCGAAAATGCGTTGTCCAGGCTACCAACAATCGCATGCTATACAAAAATGCAGAAGTAGACACAGGTTTAACTGAATCTCTTTGCTTTTCTTGGCTGCAAACAACCAAAATGGTAACTGCTAGGGCGAGCCTAATGCGTAAGGGCCTTCTGCTTTTCAGCGTTGTCACCTCGTTACGTATTCAACGTGAACTGCATTGGAAGAATAGTACTAAAAAAATGCATAACAGGACAATGCAATATCGATCTTAAATTCTCTATGAAAGCAGCTTGTTAGAGTAGCCTTGCATCTTACTCACGGTAGGTACTTGAATCGTCCATGTCGAAATTGCAATTCAATTAAAGCACAAAATAGGAGAATTGCCGACGACAGCGAGCTGAAAACGCAACGGAAGTTTTTAATCTAAATGCAAAGCTCAACAAATTATTCCTCTATAAACGTAACGTTTCTTTTGTTTTCGCACAACAATGGACAAAAGCGCTTTTATTTCTGAATTAAGATGTAATCTAGTAATGTACTCTCGCCAGGCGATATTTTCTTTAACTAAAATGTATGTGTTCCAATCCGTGGAGTAGACAGACTTACGTTGTTCCTTTATAAATGTATCAGACGCTTATGTGCGTACATAAACAAGCTACCGCACGCGATACCCGTTGAATAATTACCTGCCTAATCGGTTCATTCTGAACCTAATTAGGTTCCTAAACATAACTCGCTATGCTATCTCTAAACGTACATATAAAGGACAAATTATAGATTTCATTTTTATTGTTCATTATGGTTTGCATGCACACTTGAATTGAGGTCAATCGATTAGTTCACTCTTCTGACAATTTGATGATGCCACACAAGACGTTATTGATATCAGCAAGGCTTTTATCAGTTGTATTAGTAACTACGAAGCTATAGAGAAGCCTTCCTCCCAGGAAGTGGATGTAAAACATAGTAGTTCATTTAAAGTTAATAGTAACTAAGGCTACCTTCAGAGAAGCTTAGTGAGAGGAATAGTTTTCATTTGAAGAAGACTCTGTTTTATGTTTACGGTTTAAATTTTCTCATAAAATGAGTCTATAGTTATCATGACATCACACCTCCTGTCTGTTATCACTAACGTCACCACTGATATCGGGCAGTTATGAAAGGGTGGGTTGGTTTCTTTTTTAAATTGGTATTAAAACTACACTACAATATGTAACACTCGATACTTTGTTCAAAAGAATACACCTTCCGATTATTTATCAAAAACAACCCAATTTTGAAGCACATTTTCAATAGTTTCTGGGTCTATCTCATCAATAGCTCGACGGATATTTTCCTTGAAACATTAATTGTTTGAGGATCATTAGTGTAACAGTACCCCATAGGAAGTAATCCATGGGCGTCAAATCACAGCTGCGGGCTGCCCAATGAACGTCTCCAAAACGGCTCATAACGCGATGACCGAATTTAGTGTGTAAAAGATCGATTGCTTCATGGCTGGTGTGGCATATTACGCTATCCTGCTGGAACCAGAGATTGTGCAAGTGCACGTTGTCTAATAGTGGCCACAAAAATCTCCTCATCACGTCTCTATAGCGGTCCCCGTTTACCGTCACGCTGTTACCATCATCTTGAAAAAAGTAGGGACAAACAATCCCATCACTCCAAAAGCCACACCAAACAGTTACTCGTTTTGGATGCATTGGGTTTTCTATAAGAACATGTGGATTTTCAGAACCCCAAATCCTACAGTTCTGCTTGTTAACGTAACTTGATGGAAATGAGATGATATGGCGACCAAAATTGACGTCCGTTTCCACACAGAGAAACGATTTCGAAGCGGATGATTTGTTTCAACTCTTGCACCTTGTAAGGAAATAATCCCAGGTCGTTATTCAATATTCTGCGCACAGAAGTGCGACTGATGCGTACTTGTTGTGCTCTGCGACGAGTTGACATTCTTGCGTTTTCATGCACAATCTGGTCAACAGGAGAAACGTTTTGGGTTGTACGTACGGGTCGAACACGCTCATACCTTCTGTTATCCACAAGCAGGCCAGTTTCACAATCCTTCTTCATTAATTTTCGTATACCACTCGCGGACGAAGCTTCATTCCGACCAAATGGTCTTCTAATTTTTCGCAAAGTTTCTGCAACACAGCACTCACTTTGAAAATAGTTTTTCAATATTTCCCACCTTTGTTCAAGATAAAAACGATCCATTGCTCACAGCGGAAGTTTGACACAATATATCTGTCAGTATGTTGAGCATGGCAGTGTTACCAACTGTCAAAATAATACCAACTTTAAAAAACTAACTGGTGGCCCCACCCTTTATTTTGTTGGCGTTTGACAGTTGAACGTAGTCTCCAATATCTTGTCATCTGCAGGAAGGACGTCATTGGAGTGAGAAGCTTTTTGGTTCATACTGGTTTAGATCACTAGACTCTTCTTAAATACCTTATAACATCTTATTGACATATAATATTTGAATAGTACTTTGGCTTCTCCGCATTTGACCAATTGGCCGATTTCAGGGGGTTCCACAGGCACCGCTCTCAGCCCCAATATGTTTCGTACCCCACATTAATGACCTTACTTCAATTTTAAACAGGTAAAACTCGCAGAGGTTGCATTTGTAATTTTTTAATTGTCAAATTAGAAAAGTTTTTACTCAGAATGTGGTAATTATAATTTATTTTCTTTACAGGTAATAATTGCTTCGTCCTTGGGAATCATACTGTAAGTAAAAATCTAGATTTTATTTTGATACACCTCTGAATCATTTCGTTCAGAATAGCACTTAAGGGACAAATAGATATTTGTCTATCAACAGCCCTTCAAAACTTTCTAAAGGTACCTGAACCTATTAGTTTTTAACTCACTGAGCTTTTGATCACAGATTCTCTTATGAGAATAAAAGATATATTTAATGAACGTGCATTACTAGGCACTATTCATATTCATTTTGACACCAAAGGAGACCACATATGTAAATTTAAAGGTGTACTGCCACTTTGGTGGCACAAACTGACAATAACAATATACGAGGGGTGTCCTTTAAGTTTTGCATATAGAAACATAGTAGGCCGCGCGGATCGAACGTCAGTACTGAATCTTAACCTCACTCTTTAGTAAACTTAAATTCAGAGTTTCACAACAATACGTGCAGTGTTCTCACTGCAGTGAATTTTTAAGTGTCACCGAGTCAATAGAAAAATGGAACTCAACCGAGAACATTTTTGCGCCATAATTTTTTACAACTTTCAGAGACAATTATCGCAACAAGAATGCCTTGCTGAGTTAATGTCTGTTTTCGGCAACGAAGCGCCACATCAGTCGACAATTTCCCGTTCGTATGGAGAATTCAAACGTGGACGGGTGAGTCTTAGCGACGATTCCAGGGTGGATGCACCAAAAACGGTATTCACCCAGGAAAACCTCGATGCTGTGCGCAAACTCATCATTGAAGATAGACATGTGACATATCGCGAGATTGAGGCGTCCTTGAAGATCTCAAAGACCTCAATTCAAAAAAATGTACATGAAGAATTATTAGTAAGAGAATTAGTTTCTCGTTGGATACCCCACCTGGTGACTGAACAACAGAAAGCAGTCAGAGTTAATTGGTGTCGAAAAACGCTTGACGTTTTCAATTCCAGAAACTCAAAAAATGTGCACAGCATTGTTAGTGGTGATGAATCGTGGATTTACTGTTATGAACCAGAAAATAAACGGCAGTCGGCTGTTTGGATGTTCCAGGGTGAACAAAAGCCAACAAAAGTCATCCGTTCTCGAAGTATTTCGAAAAAGATGGTCACGACATTTGTGTCAATAGCGGGTCATATTACAACACTTCCTCTTAGTGAGCAAAGAACTGTTACTGCGGATTGGCATACCACCATTTGTTTGCCAAAAGTCATCACCGACCTTCGAAAAATCAACCCCGAAAGACGAATCATCCTCCATCAAGACAATTTAAGCTCGCACATAGTCCAAAAAACAGTTTTAACGGAAGAAAACGTGGAATTATTGTACCATCCTCCATATAGTCCCGATCTAAGTCCTAACTATTTCTTTACTTTCCCGAAAATTAAAAACAGACTGCGTGGTCAAAGCTTCCAGTCAATAGAAGAAGCAGTTGACGCATTCAAAAATGCCGTTTTACATCTGCCAGCAAACGAGTGGAATGAGTGCTTCGAAAATTGGTTCGAGCCCATGAGAATACTTCGAAAAACAATAAAGTCATTTAAAACTACCTACCGTGTTGTTTTATTTCCATATGCAAAACTTAAAAGACATCCTTGTACTTCATTTAGCTGTTTTCTATAAACTTCAAATGTTACAATAACTAGACTAACAAACAAATATGGTTTCCTCTGTGTTTGTTCAGACAAGTTGACTTCCCATAATTTGTTCACTGAGCACCTTCTCCTAAGAAGCGAATTCCTTACAGCATAGGGTGCAGTCTATGAACGACACAGGATGAATCGCATTTTTCATACAGGGCATGTACGACTATGCGTATAGTCTCTTTTATAGCGTTATCAATTTTTATAATATCACCTATACGTTACCTGTGATGTACGATCGTATAGTTAGCATTTAAAATTCCATTTTTCATAGTTATTTTCTGGTAGCCGATCCAGTACATAAAATACACCTAAAAGTGCCACTGATATAAAATATTATCAAAGCTACCAGCAGTTTTTCAGGATAAATTCGATATTTTTGTATCCGTTATAACAAATACTGATGGATCACGGAGGATAAACTAGATTAAAAAATTCACAAATAAAATGTACCAGCACAATGCTTCATACATTTACGAGTATATTGCATCACAAGGGCGTATCCAGCATAAAGCATATCTAAGTAGCAGCTCGAAAATTACATTGACGTCTTGGCGAGATTCTATGGCCGACAGGGTGTCCACGGACTGCGTTAGTTTGTTTTTTTCTTACTATGTTTTCGACTACTCGTTTTACTTCCCACGCCTGCGAGAAAGTGCTTGCATCGCAAAAATGAGATATTTTTTGGGTGTTATATGACATTACGAGTACGAAAAACCATTTCACTCATTTCCGTCAGTCTGTCTATGTCTAATGTTTGGTCAATACCTTGGAAGGTATCGCTCTGATTTGGATCAATGTTACAGTCCTCATGACCATCCAACGGTGAATTGTACAGTACAAAAGTATCACAGATCGTTCTTCATTTGGAGCCTTTAAAATCAAAGGCAATATCCAAATCCTAAAAGTGTGCCTTCCAAAACTTCAAATTTAGAAATCGGTATCAACAAAATCTGTTTCTATTGCGGTATTGCCCCTTTGTAACGCTCATGGTATTTTTTCGAAATGAGAAAAGTAGAATTGAATCGGAATTAAAGGGAATCGCTGGAATCGGTTCTAAGACCGGAATTGAAACCATGATATGAAATAACTAAAACGAACGACATGAACTAACTCTACTGCTAATGGAGATGGTCACCCGCTATGCGATACGTAAACTTCAGTGGCGTATCAAGAGGGTTTTTCCTGGGTGTTGCTCCCTCCTATACTATAACTACCTAAAACTGTAATGACTCATCGATGTTCACGTGAACATCACTTAACTACCAGTAGTCGGCTGTTCATAGGCGGGGCATAAATGTTTAACATGGGTGAACTAGATTTGTCACATGCTTAATAAAGAGTGGTTTGAAACATATTGTAAGTCAAAAATTTGGGAATTACCTTCATTCGTCGTCGCTTCCACTTACATCTGACAGTAATAAACTGTCGCTATCGCTTTCCTCGTTGAAATCGACTATAACTGGCTCTATGATGGTGCCGATGTGGTGGTCAAGCTGCCACATTTTTGTTTCTTCCTTCACAACATGACGGATAGCATTCTGCCAAGCTTCGGGCGTTACTAGCTGTATGGAAGTCTCAAGTAAAACCTTAACGTCTGGTAATTTGAAGGTTGTGTTATGGCGCGCAATATAACCCTTCATTTGAGCCCAGATGAGCTCTATTGGGTTCAGTTCACAGTGGTAGGGCGGTAACCGCAGCACAGTGACACCACATTGACGGGCCATCTCATCAGTGACGTAACTAATGTCCGCAGGTTTGTGCTGTTTAATTTTTTCATACAATTCCGCTTTCACACATGAATCGTCAAACGGGATTCCTTTTTCGCACAACCATTATGCAGCAATCACTTTTTCGAGATCCCATAGTCGGTACACGTTCGGCTCGACGACTATGGTAGGAAGCATTATCCATGACGATCACAGAGTTTGGCTCAACTCGCTGAAGCACCCCTTGAAACCAGCTCTCGAAGCAGCTGGCATTCATTTCGTCATGGTAATCACCTCCTTTCTTAGAGACGAAAATCAAGTCACACTCTTCTAAAACTTTGGATCATTAGTAGCTCCAGTTTTCTTATTTTCATGCACCACCCTGCGAACGGTCCACTCTGGAACGCCTGTCATCTTTCACAACGCGCGAGTGCATCTCCCTGCGACATAGTCCTGTTCAGATAATTGAACACGTTGAGCACGATTTCTTTCGCATCCCTCTTCAGTGCTTTACGAAGCCGTCTACTTGATCCCTGGCTTTCAGTACTTCCACTCGTGCCATTTGTACTCTCCATGGTTAAGTATAACCAAAACAGTAACCACAGAAACCACAACAATAACAATCACACAAAAATTCTTATAAAAACACACAATATTCGATCGCTCAACGAAACACGTTCCAATGCGTTGCCGACGCCTATGAGTCTGCCGGTCGAGGCGCGTCTTTGATTTCATTGGTTCTACCGGCGGAGAACAATCAGCCATTATTTCCATCTCTGTCTGTGCTGTTGACCACCGCAAAGCCACAGAAACGACATATGTCGTACGCTATACGGCTGTACTGGAAGGAAGCCGGGATCGAGCTCTGATCACGTGTTGATCACGCGTATGAGTCATTACAGTTTTAAATAGTTGTAGTATAGTTAAAAAAACTTCGAACTTTCCAATTTGCAGACGACCTCCCCCCTCTTTTCAATGTTCAATCACCGATAACCCTCCCCAACGCAGGCATTTTTCTGCACATGAATCGTCACCCAACCCCCGCCACTTTTTTTAACGGATAATTTTAAATTCACCGAAAATATTCTCCAGAGGGCATTCTAGAGAAAGGGGTAGTCAAACCCCTTGTAAGCCAAGAAATACTGTGGTGTGGATTACGTAGGAGCTAGGAGTGTAACTCAATGAGGGTTCAGCTGTCCCCTTGCTCCCACCTGGGTACGCCCATGTTGCATCAACTGATGAACGTTAACTGGCAAAATATGTATTATGAATATTCAACTACGAGAGTAGCTTGTTGAAACTGAATCCATGTTTTCAATTTAGCCGAGTTAGTAAGTCTAATGTAGATTATAACATGCTAAATAATATTTCTGCACCCCAGAGCCTGACTAGGTTAAGTCCATTTTGCTCAAAAATGTGTTTAACACGTTAAGCTTATGACGATATTGTGAATTCTCATTCGCTACATGCACAGAATTACCTCAAAACTACTTATTTGGACTTATCCTGGTCTGGCTCTTTTTTTTATATCGAAGCAGCCGCGCAGGCAGAAGAGTAAATGCCGGAACACCGCGGCTACTATGATGATCCGAAAGAAATTTTGTTAATACGATTTTTGAACTGCCTAAGGTTAGTAGAACTGGGAAAAGCTTCTTCTTGTAGATTGTTCCACAATCTCGACACTCTCGGGACAAAGGAGCGGTCGTATCGGCCAGTTCTGGATGTACGAAGTTCGACACGATTGGGATGGGACGCCAAAAAAAAAAAGTGGACGTTGCCTATAACGCGCGTTTTTAATAACTGATTAACAATGCTTTGAAAGAAAGTAAGCCTGAAATACTGTTGAAGTCTTATAATCTAAAAATTAGTAATTTTTAATCAAACAGTCAATAGTTTACCAGACATTAAATCGCAACAGTCAAGTTTAGAATAAAGACTAATAATCTTTTTCATTTATAATGACCCATAAAGACTACAACAGGGATGTCTGGCGCGAAAAAAGGATTATTTGTAAATTGTTTGAAATATGACAAAAATTGAGCTCAAAAAGGTCTTCCACGGATACAAGGTTTCGCCCTGTCTATATATAATTTTCTGAAACAACGCAAGTTTCAAATGCCACTTGTTTGGTAGTTTAGTTGTACGTTTGTAAATAAATGCACCTTTAGATGTACAGACGGGAGCAAAAACGAGTGCTATAGGTTCGGTTTAAGTGTTCAGAGCAATATACATAAGATGAAAAGCTCATATAAACATAGGTTCAAACTTTCTTTAAATATAATAATAATAATAATAATAATAATAATAATAATAATAATAATGACTTTATTCAGAAGATGATATCGGTTTTTCCTAAATACCTTAATAAACTTTCAGTCGATTTTATTAAAATTCTGCAACAGTATTAAGGGCAGTAAGAGGCTAATTTAGCTCCTATTAGATAGAAATCTTCAAATCCATGGGCGTCCCGGAAAACACCCTAACCAATATCTTTGACAAAACAAATTTGCGCTAATGACTTTTTCCAATCTTTATATCTTTTTTTCGCAGCAGCTAAAAATACAACTATTTTGTTTCCTCAGTCACTTACATATCTCGCTTCGATGGCGAGATAAAAAATAAAAAGCACTTTATTGCATGTTTTCGATAATTATATTACACGAAAGTTGTATTTGAATTTTTTTGCTCAGATTATACCTTCTTTCGATGAAACAAATACACATAAAGTATTTACATAACGTTACTTATTGTTGCAATGTCTTTAAAAAATTAAAAAGATCAGTGGCTCAAAATTTTTTTGTCAAAGATAGTTAGAGTAACTCTGTGAAACACTTCAAATAATATAAATAGCTACACTGCTTTAAGTAAGTTATGTCAAAGATTTTTTGAGTAGCAATTGTTTTTCCTTTCATGGCGCTCTTTTTTTTCCTTTTAAAATATTGGCGTTATAAATTATTACGTTATGCGATTATTAAATATTATTTTGTTTTATCGAAATTAGTTTTAAATATGTGCGAAAAAAATCAAGAGATGACTTTCGTCTAATGTTAGTTTGTTGGTTACAATGTTTTATTTTGTTATTGTCCCAGGGACATGCAGTAGGCGTCTTTTTATCTCGCAAATGAAGCAAGATAAAAAATTCAGCAGACAAAAAGGTTGTA